AATGAATACAAAACACTGCTCTGAAATTCTACTGTTGCCTACCCAAGACTCTTACCTGAAACTTGCTTTCTCTTTGATAAAAACAGAAATTACAAATGAGTTAAATCAGTTAAAGAAATACCATCAAATTGAGTCTTTGTCTTGTGATTTATAAAGAAATTTAGAAGAAACACTCTTTTAATTCAATACTATTCAGTATTTTGTGCATGTGACCCTTAAGATTATTATTTATCCTGCCTATTTTCATATTCCACACCTCTGGAACCCATGGATTAAACCATGGTAAAGATTATCCAGTAACGTATTGCTTAATGACAGGAATAATTCTGAAAAATGTGTCATTAGGCAATTTTGTCTTAAGAACGTCACAGTGTATGCAGACCAGCCAGATGGTATAGCCTCTTAAACATCTAAGCTATATGGCATAGCCTATTGCTCTCATACAGCATGTGACCATGCAGCATGTTACTGTATTGAATATTTTAGGCAATTATATAACACAATGGTACGTAGCTATCTAAACAAATTTAAACCTAGAAAAAGTAGGTGAAAATACAGTATTATAATCTTAAGGGACCATTATTGTACTGTTGTTGTGTATGTGGTCCGTTGTTCACTGAAATGTCACTATGTGGGACATGACTGGTAACTGAATTTCTTAAACCATGATCACATTGAATATACCAGTACTATAACATTTAATCACTGTATTCTTTTAAAACTAACAGAAAACTAAAACATAAAATCAAGTTTTAATTGTACTATAAAATTACAGAGAAATAAAAGCAGAAACTGTTAGTATAAATTTTTTTACAATGGCAAAATAATAAGGATATATTCACATATATATACTTACTTGTTTTTTTAGAGCTAGAAAATACTCTGAATGATAAATATGATCATTTGTAGGATCTTCTACCCAAATCCACCAAGGTTCTCCCACTGTCCCATGTACCTAGAAGAAAAATAGTATATCATAACTCAAGTAAGGGATAGCATCCAATCTTCTCACTCTAGAAGCTTTATTGATACATAATTTATATTACAAAGTTTACTCATTTAAATATTTACAGTATACAGTTAAATAATTTTAAAATATTTCCAAAGTTGTACAACCATCACCATAATCTAGTTTTAGAACATTTTTACCACCTCAAAAAGAAACCTTGTACCCATTAGTAGTCACTACCTTTTCCTTACAGATTTGCCTATTCTGTAAATTTCAATTAAATAAAATCATATAATATGCAGTCTTTTGTGACTGGATTTTTTAATTTACCATGATGGTTTCACAGTTCATCTAAGTTTTAGCATGCATCAATGCTTTCATTCCTTTTTATTGTCTAATAATATTCCATTGGATAGATATACTGTATTTTGTTTTATCCATTTCAATGTCTTTCTCTCTCTCTTACTCTCTCTCTCACTCGCTCTTCTTTGCGAAACTCAGTCTTGTTCAGCATGCATCTCTCCCTCATGTGACTCAAGAAAAAGTGACCACATCCTCTGGGATAATTTTGATTGGCAGAAGTCAATCAGCTCATGGGATTCCCCTCACAACTGCTGTGGTAAGGCAGAGGCACATGACAAATACTGGCCCAATTAGACAGAAGAAAAGGTCTATGGTCCATGCTCTGGGCTGGAGAAGTGGGGATGTGTTTCCCATGCTCTGTTTAATGCAAACAGTAAATCAGGAAAACATTTGAGAAGTATCCACAAGTGTCAGCAGAGCAAATGGGTGAAAAGTTCCTGGTCCTTGAATGACATCTTTAAACAGAAGACTCAACCATCATTAGGGCCTATTCTACCTGTGGACCTGTTATTATGAAACATAATATACTTTAGTCCTTAACTCAGTTTGAGGCAACTTAAGTTTTCCAATCTTGAAGTCAACAGCATTGTGCCTGACAGAGATAACTATTAAAATCATTAAGTACTCTGTCTTACTAATGAGTTAAATCAAACTGTAGATTTATTACAGATATTGGCAGAAGGAGACAGTGTAAGAAATACAAAACTTCCACTCATTTCAAAAATAGTGTATTAAAAATAAAATTTCAAGTATGAGTTTATGGGTAACAATAAATTTATATTTATGTGAAACTTTATATCTATAGAAATATTAAATATAATTTTGTATCATCTAGTCCCAATGAAAATTCTGTAAAAAAGATTATTATTATTATAATAATACATGTTTATAACTGAGGAAACTAAAGAAATTAAAGATTTAGACACTTTAAGACCAATGTAGAATTAGGTTAAAATCAAGGTTGGGTAATTTTAGAGCATACTGTTAAAATTCATTCACATTAAAGATCTATAAACATCAGGTAATGCAGAAGATACTTAATTAGAACTTTACAATAACATGCGAAATAGGCACTGCTATACTATTAATAGTGATTTACTTGTTTTCCCCCATCGGCTTATTGAAAGTAAGAACTGAGCCTCACTTGCCTTTGTACCTACAATCTCTAACATAGTAACTGGTACAAAAATAGATCTTTAAAAGATATTGATTGAATAAAAAGAGAATCTGGTGTGTATCTTTATATACACAATAATATCTAAGCTATCAATGGAGAAGAAAGAATTAAAACAGAAACAAAAACGTGATGGGAATCAAGGATGAACATTTTGAAAAACTGTATGGTGTTAAATATTCAGAGAAGTAAAGGAAATAACTGAGAAAGATCTATTTATTATGGCAATCCATCAGTCTTTGGAGATCATGGAGGAAGTAGTCTCAGTAGGAAAGAAACAGGTGATCGGGGGAAAATAATACTTTTCTACAAGTCTAATGTTTCAAAAAAGGAAAGAATATTAATTTAAGAGACATCAAGATTTAAAAATGGCTCTTTTTATCATGAAAAATCTTGAATTTTTTGGAAGGCTAAAATGACAAAGTAGACATGGCAAAAATGAAGATAACATAGAGAAAATAAAAGAAGATAGAACTAATATAGCAAAGTCCCTATGGAGTTGAATCCACTAAACTGTTGTTCATTGTTGAAATTTAGGTTTTCTAAATGTTTTGAAGGAACCTCACTGGTTGACATATTACTAATATACCAAGGTTTTGTTGAGGATGAGAGTAAATATTGCTATAAGTTTTTTAAATTATTATTATTTTTTTGAGACAGAGTCTCGCTCTGTCACCCAGGCTGGAGTGCAGTGGCACGGTCTTGGCTCACAGCAAACTCAGGCCTCTCGGGTTCACGCCATTCTCCTGCCTCAGCCTCCCAAGTAGCTGGGACTACAGGCGCCTGTCACCATTCTCGGCTAATTGCTATAATTTTTTACATAAATCCTCAATATATATTCCTTTTAGAGGATTTTCTATATGCCTTAGGAACAGATGTAGTTGAGCCTGTAGTACAGACATTTTTGTTTAACATAGATATAGGTGTTTTCCACTTCTACCTGATCATTCCAAGTGAAATCAGGATAGATGCTCAGTGTCACTCGGAGGACAGTCCTTGTGATGGGCTGAATGGATGCTTCCATCATAACAGAAGGAATCTGATGAACACATTGTTTGACTTTCAGTCCAATATTCACATGATGCAAAATGTGACCTGCAGAAAAATATCACATAGAACAAATGTGTCCAGGCAGAAAAAAGCAATATAATCTGACTTGTAAATGGGATTTCAGAGAAGGTGATTTTATTGCTTGTTTTATGATTTGCTATGTAGATTAGCTGACATTCTTGACCTGGCATGTTTGAATATTTTGTAATAGTTAACTTGAATTAGCAATTCACAGTTTTTAAAGTCAGTATCAAGGTTTCTTTAGCTATTAATAGGGTTCTTAAAATTACGATAGTGTTTAAACTACTATAAACAGATTCACTTGAATATGAAGAGATTTTTGCTTGATTTTAGATAAATGAAAAATATTTATAAGTATGGCAAAATTTTTATTTTGATTAATGTGTAAATTCACAATACCTTCTTTTACATCTAGCAACATATTCTCTTTGCACAAAACAATACATTCAAACATATTTGCTTCCTTCTTACCTATTTCGTCTTTCCTCATGTCTTTCAGCTTATCCACAGTAAGCTTTTTTTCTTCTAATCTTGTTAGGATGTGTGGTGGTAGGACTGAAAATTGTCTCAAAGGGCTAGCCCAACCCCAAAGCCTCTTGTCAATGACTTTACTAAGATTCAGGAGCCTGTAGGTCATAGCAGGCCAACGTTTCCTCAGAGCAATTTCAAAAAGAGCACGGACAATTCTAGCTGCATTCTAAAAAATAATAGGAGGAGATTGGTGGTTATATCCAATGTGCTTTTAAATTTGTCAATAAATTTATTATTCAAACTCACTCTGAAAAGAAGTGCAAGTCAAGCTGCATCCTTGAATTGTGGGGCATACCTTTTTGCATATAATACTAATTATTCTTATTATTTCTACATAAGAATAATCCTGTCCTTTATATGTGGATGCTACTTGTTCACTCTCAGAGGAGAAGCCGTATTTCCAAGTTCTTAGAAAGTTCTACCTTCTAAACAGGAACGAAGTAGGAAGAGACAAAAGGCATGCAAAATATTTAGGAGGCTGTTAAGGCATCTGACTATAACAGACAAGGATGCCTCTAGATGAATAGTGGAATGATTAAATTTACAAGGCTATTTAGAGGATTAAGGAAGACTGGGATTCCAGTTAGGGAAAAAAAATTAATGAGAGAAGGGTGACAAATGAAATACTGATTAATGTAGCTACTTATATGAAAGGGCCATATTATTGGCTTCCTATAAACCAAACAATATGTTAACTTGCTTTACATACATTGCCTCATTTAATTTTTACAAAAACTGCATTTAATTGATATTGATATTATGATTTTATAGATGAATACACTAGGGCTCAAAGAGGTATAAAATTTCACCAAGGTCACACAGCTTGTTGGTGTCAGAGCATCTACTCAAAGCCAGGACTAAAGGACTCCAAATATAACTGAGATTCTAGACTCAGTGGTCTGAGGATAACTTCATTAATAGACATATAGAAAGCTATAATGAATGCAGTCTTTTTTCTTCACATTTCTACAGCTAGCTCCCATTTATTTTGCCTCCACCCCTCTATCATTAACTTTGCAGATTGTTTTATTAAAGATTATTTACTAAATGAACTTAAAGATACCTTCCAATATCCAATAACATCTGTGTTTGAAAATAAAGAATGTTCAATCTGGTTAAAATTCAAACAAGACATACAAAACTGAAAATATTTCAAATGGCAGACAAACAATCCAGCCTAAAATTATGAGGTCAAAAATGACAGATGTGTTAAGGGCTTTCATTTCACATTTTATATAAGATATGCACTGTCTTTTGACTAATTTGACTGTTCTGTTTCGGTATTAGAAACTAAAGTACAAAATGGTAGATAGAAGTATGAGGACAGTTCTGATATCCATTAAAAATGAATGAATGGGTCTTTATAAGGCCCAGAGAATAATAAATAAAATTTTGATTACTGTATCTATCAAATAGGTTTTCCTACCTCATTCCCACTTGTTCTTATAAAAAACTGTCAGGCTAATTTTCCCAACTGTCTTTGAAAGTATGTCATTTTAATATTACTGATCTACAGTTGTCTCCTCAAAGCTAAAAGAAGTAGGAGAAATTCCATATGACAAGATACAAACAGGGCATTTTAATCTAGAATGATATAAATTGGCTGAAAATAATAAGTCTATAACATGTACAGTCTAGAAAAGTTAAGCATAAGCCTTTAAATAGAATCCTAGAATATTTGAGCTATAGGTTTACCTTAGGGGCTGAGAAGAGAAAGCTTAAAAAATATAGAAGAAAATACCATTTTACAGAGTTGAGAGAGTAGTTGTTCAATTACTGATAGCTTAAACTTAAAATGTAATAAAATATAATTTATCTGATGCATTCAGGGATGCTAAATCCATAACGGCTATTTAAGAAAAACCAGGGATGCTTTGAGATATCCTTAATCAGAAGTTGACTTCCTGGATACCAATCATGAAGAGAATTAAAGTTTTACATTGTAAGCAATTCTTATGTCAGTCTCTGATACTATCTTCATAATCTTGAAGCAAGCAGAAATGTTGCCAGATTATTCATCCAGAACCCAGTAAAACTTTACCTTTTATTTAAATGATTAACTATTTCAATATAAAATATTAGAACATATAAAATATTAGAAAATATAAAATGACAATATTATATTACTTTATAGAAAAACATATAAAACAAAGGAGATTAGAAACAATTATTCCTATAGAAGCTATGATGTTTAAAGAATATATAAATATTTTCACTACATCTATACTAACTTTATATAATTTATGAAATCATCACCTGGTATCTTGGTTACACTGATTAAATTACTACATTCATTCAAAATGTTTACTAATATGTCTTAGTTTGTGTTTGTAAATATTACATGTTGACAGCACTCCTAAGTACTCACGGCTATTAATAATGATTCATTTAACACAAACATTGTTTTCTATATTTAGTCTTTGAACAAAATTACAAATACAACATAACAGCAGAATCATTTCCATATTTAAAATAAAATTGAGTTTTAATTTATTCTTAATTTATAAAAGGAAATACTCAATAAAATAAAATTAAAAAGCCTTGATAGGTAAGTAAGTTTTTTAAAAAAGTATGTCTAGAAGGGAAATTTTTCATTTGAAGGAAAAATAGGGTAAAACATAACCTCCTTTACTTCACATGAGGGCTTGAATATTAAAACACAAATATCTGAACATTTTATACTATGGTATTTTTTAAAAGTTATAAATTAAATGAGCTGTAGTTTAGGGAATAATTTGCTTTCTGTCCTCAATTTTTAAGTTTCAACAGTAGAGAGGAGAGATAACTTTTGTAAAAACCAGAGACTTATTACACTGAACATATGGTAGGAAATATGTTTACTATGCCTTATTTAATGATTAAAAATATTATTTCTAATATTTGGTAAAAACTAAAAAAGTTTCACAATCTTTTCTTTATGCTTGCAACATTCTTTAACTTATCTCTTTATAAGTACTTTATATTCTTTTACTTTATAAGTAAAAGAAATGAAATTCACCATTTAAAGTAGAAAAAAATCAGGTATCATTTTAAAACTTTATAAAAACATCAACACCAAAAAAAGCCAAATCAGCCATTAAATCTCATCCCCAGTCTTGTTTTATGAGCATAGATTACATAAAATATTTACAAATTAGCAGAACCAGGTCTAAGTAAAATGGTGGTTTGGTAGCATGTCACAAAGCAATACATTCATAGCATAGCATGAATTAGCACCTTGGTCCTCTAAAGATATTCAAGGAAGAGAAAACGGAAGGGAATAAGATTCTTACCTGTGCAACATACGCAGAATCTGATATAAGGGAGAAACTGTCCATTTCTCCTCGGCTGATATAAGTTTGAAGTAAGATGTTTATTTTCCCATAACTATTCTCTACACCTCCAGGAGTGGAGAGTTCACAAAAATTGTTTAATAAGGCATCTAACTCCTCTATTTCCTCTTCTCTGACCTAGAAGAATCAATGTATTTATTGGAATTTTGAGGCTGATTTATTTAAATTTTTCACATTGAAATTAAATACACCACATGCTTTGTAAGAGTTTCCATTTACTATAAAGCAGCACTTTTCTTTCATAGAGTTAAATAACAATAATTTTTCCACAGTTAGCTAAAAAACTGCAATATGAAATGATCTTGAGGCTGATACAATTACATTTTATTATTCATCACCAATATTAAATTCACCATTGACATATAAAAATTTGATATGCCAAAAAATTAAATCTTCTGACCTCACCATCCTTGAATTGATGAGATTTCATATTTTATTTGACCAGAGTAAAACCTCTGCACAACTGGATTAGGGCAAACTTGAATTATCTTCAAATGCATTCATTATAGTCATATATTTTTATATGGTATAACACATTCATAGCTTAAAGCCGTGAAGTACTATGATTCAAAGTATTAAAGTTTTCACTGTTAATAAGATTAAATATTAATATAGGTACAGAAATACTCATATCTATGGTTTGAATCATACAGGTACTTTTACATTTTCTTCAATAAGCCTTATATTGCAATAAACCAAAATCTTCATACTACACTCTTCAACAGTTTCATTACTGCAAAACCAATTTAAATTATTTGATGTGGAGTACAGAACAAAGAATGATGTTAGGTATGACGTAATATTATAATCTAGGACAGTGGGTCTTATTGATAAAGAAAGAACATTGCTGATATTCCAGATGTGATGTGCCATACAGCTCATATGATATTAATTAATGAGAAGCTTTTATAAATGAATGAATGCATACATGTTGCATGCATTTGATTCAAATTTCAAGAATCTTACCTTAATTTGATCAAATTCTTCTGCTTTGGAGACTATGGCAAAGATATCACCTTCTGTTTTGTGAGCATCAAAGAGTTCATTAAAGGTCTACCAAAGTAAGTGTTATATTTGATTAAAATCAAAACATTTAAAATATTTTAAATTAAAAATGTGACTATAAATTACAGAGTGCAGTTATAATGTATGGTTACAGTACTTAAAGTCATTGCTTTATAAATATCAATAAATTTATCAAAGACCAAAACAAAAATTCCTAGAACATAATTAGCTATAGAAGATCTTTAGCAGGAAAAAGATGGATGATGAATAAAAGTTAATAAAATTTACATTAGACACCTTTAAAAAGTTCATAAAATTCTGGTTTTTTGCTTATTTTCAGCATGGCCATGTGGAAATCTGCACAGTTCACTAATTCTAAGCTGATCATGTATCAAAAAATTCGGAGATGTATATCTAGAAAATATGTAATCTGAAAATTCTCAAAATATTGCTAGTGAGGACATACAGAAAATCAGAAAACTGAGTTGAAAAAAATCAGTCAAAGGGCACAAAGATTGAAGACAAATGCTAAAGAAAGTCTAAAGTTCCTGCAAAAGAACTGCAAACAGGTTTAGGATATAGAGTGGTAGCAACACACTAGCAAGTGAACAAATCTAAAAAGTTACTTTGACAAAATGAGTGGATGTGAATAGGTGACCGAAGAAGTGAAAAGCTAGAGACAATATGTTGGATTGATCTCAACCAGATCACAGTTCTGAGATAAAATATGTTTAAAGATTTTAAAGAAACCTAAAGTGCTATACAAATAGAAGGTTTATTTGGGGAAAGATGGGGAAAAGTTAGTAAGCCCATGAGGTGTTTTCTGAAAATCATTACATGTATAAGCAAATGTGCCTTGACTTTTTAGGCTTTGGTGTGTATATTGCTTAGGATAAACACATTGAATAGGATGACAAGAGGTTTCTGAGTATCTGAAGTTTTTTTTCTTGTCTTTACTGAGGGTATACTGTTGAATTCATATAAGTTAAATGGATTTTGTTATATTATTTGCTTTTATTATTTTGCATTAATAACACATTTTGAAGTCTAGAAAGTATGTGCATATAAAATTAAACATATTTGCATTTGTTCCACTCAGTATAATACCTCAATGGTGTTGTATTTAATATAGTAATGGCTGGCAGTTCTACCCAAATCAGTTGAGGAAAAATATCCAGTTCGCTCCTCAAAACGAATCATCTGAGCTTTGTCTAGTTTTCGTCCAACTTCAATGACCAACTGTTCTCGATGCTTTCTTAATGTTGGGTCAATCTATGGCAAAAATATATAAACAGTTGAATATTTCTTTAGAAAGTAACCATTTGCAAACATATATCTATTTATGGAAATTAAAACTTTTCTTAATGTTTTAGTTAGACTTTTTAATTACAGTTTTTAAAGTACATTTTTCTACATTTAGGAAAAAATTGAAAATATTTTATGCCATTAAATAAAGGAAGCTTAAAAATTCATTAAAATTATAAATGTGCATATTCTTTTCAGGTACCAACATTTTGGAATCTAAAATTCTTATATGATCTTATGATCTTGAAAATCATAAAGATTAAAAATCAAATTTAAAAAACTCAATACTTGTCTTCTTTCGCCCATACAGAGGGGATTTTAAATTATCAAATCATATTCATACTTTATTATCAGTTTTTTGGAGAAATGATAGCAAGAATGCTTTCCATGTCAAAATCAAGATATATTTAAAACTGCAAAGTTATCCGGCCAGGTGCGGTGGCTCACACCTGTAATCCCAGCACTTTGGGAGGCCAAGGTGGGTGGATCACAAGGTCAGAAGTTTCAGACCAGCCTGACGAATATGAAGAAATCCCATCTCTCCTAAAAATACAAAAATTAGCCGGGTACGGGGGTGCGCGCCTGTAATCCCAGCTACTCAGGAGGCTGAGGCAGGAGAATCACTTGAACCCAGGAGGCAGAGGT